AATCAAAGTAAGAGCAGTTGATCACATTTATATGTATATTTTTTTTTATTGTGTAATACAAAAGAAAATTCTTTTTTCATCTGCAAGTTTTGTCTCAGTATGGACTGAATGCATCTTCTCACTTAGCAAGGATTGGGGATGCATAATTATCATTGTATGGAATCAATAATAAATCAACACTTACATGCAGTTATTTTTATTTTTTTCATTTTCATATGGTCATTAAACAAAAATAATATGGATAATAGTATTTGACATTCATTCACAGATAGGTCGTCATTTTATCTCAATATTGACTGTATGCAGCTTCCCACTTAGCAAGGGATTGGGGATGCTTCTGCAACTCCCTTTAGAGCGCAGAAGGTCCTGAACGCAGTAAAGGCGTCGCAGGCGTTCTGGGCGGCGTGGCACATTTGGATGAAGGGTTCTGGTTCCACCACTGCGATGCACTGTGACCGGATCCTGAGAAGTGCTTCACACTTGATCACGCGAGCTACTGTGGGTATGGCATGGGGAATCTCGGGCATGGAGCACTGCTTCCTCTCCTGCCAGGAAGCCACCACCTCGCGGGGGCTCGAGGGTTCTGCACCGTTGGGCATGAGGCGGTCGTCCCCAATTTCTCCGTTGTTGGGACCCAGAAGCCCTGCCACATGGCCGAAGGTCCATCCTGAAGCCTTTATGGCCACAACCTCGCTCTTCTTAGACACGATGATCTTCATCAAAGGACACTGTACCACTATCTCTTCGGCATTCTTCTCAATTCTAATCTTTCCAATAGTCTCCTCTGATCCTCTGATTGGCTGACCGTTAACAAGCACTTCAGCGTCAGGCTTGATGACGATGGTGGCATCTGGTGTCTTGAGCTCAACCTCTGCAGGAGCTGAGGGCTGTGGGTGGGACATCATGATGGTGTGGGAACCATGGGCGGCCAACAGGACCTTGCAGGGGGATCGAGGTGCTCGCACTACAAGGCCGTCGAAGGTGAGGATCTCAGTACCACCTACCACCATGGCTGTTCGAGGGTAAGGTGGCAACAGATCTGTGATTTGCTGAGGCACGAAGGTGTAATACGTCCAGATAAAGTCTTCAAGAGTATAAGGTAGTGTGCCACCAATCAGCCACATATAGTCTTTGCGGATTTCATATGGATTAATCACTTCCTTTATAAACTGCACCACTGAATACAAAGGTTTGTACAGTGGGATCTCAATCATGAGTTGGTTCTCCTCTGCCTTCACGTCGAGGACGTGGAAGTCCTCAAGAAGAATCTCTGCCAGTGTGTTTGCCTCTACTGCTGCCAGACGGCCCTAGTGAATAGAGAAGAATTTGGATATAGAGTTGCATTTTCATGTGAATACATCTAAGCCATAACTGTAATACATTTACTGACAGTTGAAAAAAATGCAATTTCAGAACAGCAAGAAATAGGTTACTGAAGCACAAGAACAACTTACAGGATTAAGGTTTTCCATGATCCAATTGATAATTCTTTGGAAAGCAGGGATTTCCATGATCCTCTCGAACATGAGGTCAAAGTCTCTCTCGATGGTACTTATCACGTTGATTACAACATACTTAATGGCCTCATACTCCTCTGGGTATCTATCCAGCAATGCATCCACTGGCCCCTTGAAAAACTCATACATTTCACTCCTTTTCAGCTCTTCTACCATATGGCGTACAGGTTCAGGAATCTCTCCAGTCTCTAGAATTTCGAGTGCTTCCTCCAAAGCTGCAAATTATTATTAACCAGCATTATTTATCCCAATGTATCAATATGTCTGACTGAACCAAAACACTATTCACTAACTCACCTGTAAATACCTGAGTGGTAATATCTTTCACCATCTCTAGACAAACATTGATCATCTTCTTGCGTTCTTGAATGATGCTCTTCTCAAGCTGAGCCCAAATTCGAATCATATGCCTGAAGCTGTTCTTCATACGACCAAAGGAAGGCATTTCTCCAAGGAATGGCCTGCTATCTTCGACCAGATCCTGGTAGATCATCCCCAGTTCTTCTTTAACTTCAGCAATTAGTGTGGACAACTCTGACCCTTGCATGCTTGCCGAAGACCCTGCTACTTCCTCAAAGATCTCTTGAACTGCAGCTCCCACAGAGGCCTTGACAACTGAGAGTTTTTCCTGAATCAAATCCTGTTAAATATACAAATATGATGTCAGTTAAGAAACATAAGAATTTAAGTGATTGTTTGCTGTATGAATTACACTTTACATGCTTTGATTTAGATTTGAAATGCTTACCATCATACGATAGATTTCTGGACGCTCATAAGCAAAGCCGACTCTGATCACTGTAGGATCAACCATCTCCAGGCGAGCGAGGATGATAGGATACTCCTCCACAGACTGTGTTGTTCCCTTGCTCAGACTAACTTCTGCATTATCTGGTGCCTGAAGACCGATCCTAGCAATATATTTCCTATCAGTGCCTTGCTTGTTGGTGGTCACCTCTACAAAAGCAGGTTTGCACATTCTTGAGTGGATGTCATGTGTTCCCAGAACAGGTGCATAGACAACAGCAGACACAGCCAAGCCATTACATGTAGGCGCCTCATCAGGCTTCATTACCCCAGTCACTTCAAATACTGGAGTGTTTTCGTGGTTTATAGTGAAAGCCAGGACTGCATTCTTTGGACTCGTTTTGTCGTATTTGGCAATAACCTTAATGGATGGTGGTGCAGAAGGAGATTTCCTGAATTCTACATCTAAACCAACTGTCTCTGAGGCAATGGCTGTAGTCAGAATAAGTTTGGGACTCACTTTCAGAACCTGCAAAAAGGTAAAAATGTTAATACATACACACTGTACCTTTTACTAGATCAACTGTGCAAACAATATTTCACATTACAGAACTTACCCTGCTGACAATGGAACCTTCAGTTCTAATGGTGTTTGCTGATACTCGAGTTGATGCAAGGTGGCCAGTAATTTTGTCTGCACTAGATGAGAAAATATCCAGTTCTACAGTTCCTTCCACAGCTGTTCGGTCAGCTGTGTACTGAAGAGCAAACTGCATGGGCTTTGGAAGAGCCGGATGGTTAATTTGGCTCTCCCATCTGCCTTGGTTGCCCGTGTGGGTAGCCTTGTATCCAATTTCATAGGTGGACTCAGAGTTGTGTTTGTTGGGATAGAACTTGATTCCTGACTGTGAAGCTGAGATGTGGGCTTCACCCTGCATTGTGCGTGATGGCGTTTGTACACTGACATGGTAAGATGTTGGTGTTGGCTTACTGTAATGATATCGATAGTTAGCTGACTCGGATCTCTCAATTCTTTCTTCCTTCACAAAGGTAAGTGCAGCACGGACAACCTTCAGTAGCTGAACTGTTGCCTTCAAATCCAGTCCTGCTTCAATGGCTTCAATTTCACCATGGGGATGGATCTTCACGTCCCAGTCAAAGACAGTTTTAGGAGCATTTCTTGCCATTGTGCATTTGCCTTCGTAAGAGCCTTCTTTGTTTTCAATGAAGAATTCCACCACGAGGGGCTTCCTTAGGACAAGGCCTTCAGCATCAACCTAGGAAAATATCAAAACTTAGTCTCTCTACTAGTCATTTGTATCTATTAATTTGCTTAAGTCAGCGGGAAATATTTGTAGAATAATTGCATGGGAAAAGCTGCTTACTTACCTTAAAGAGTACCACTCGTGCCTCTGGCATTTTGTGATGTTTCAGAATAGTCTCCAACCTTGTTTCCTTTCCTTCAGGGGCTATGTAAATCACGTTGGTGTCAAGAGCATAACTGTATGGACCCTCAAGTTTCTCAGCAGCAACAGAACCCGTGAATTTATGTTCCTTATCTTCAGTGTTCTTGTACCTGAACATGGTAATAACTCTGGTGATGGGTCGTTGGTCCTCGATTTTGTAGCTGGCTTCCATGGCAAGAGTCTTTTGGGAAGGTGTGGTTACTTCCAGTTCAAAGCCAGATGCCAGGATATCTTCAGCATTCAGGCTTAGCTTCATGTGGTATGGCTCACCAGCAATTATGATGTTTCCACTGCAAAGAGGAGAGCATGTTCAAAAAATTCAAAGGAAAACTTATACATATCACATTTTCCAGTCCAAAATAGAAATCATGCACATAGATATCCAGTAGGAATTTTTAAAAATGAATCAGTTTACATCCTGTTACACATACGTATTGATATATGTACTGAGGAAGAGGAAAAAGCAAGAAATATTAAAGAAAACTGAAACTACTTACTGAATGGAAGCATGGCCAAGGTCAGGGGAGCTGCTAATAACATTTGCATCCACAGCAAGCTTCCTATCAGGGTTACGATCTGCATCCCAAGCAAATTCAGCATTTATCTTCTTGTTTTCACCGTCGATATCTACAAAAGTCTTTATGCGATGTGCAGACTCACTTTTGGGAAGGACCGCTGTATTGAGGCTCACATGAATATTGTTTTGTATGAGCGAGATGTCGAACAAGAACTCCATGAAAGCAGGGACTATGAGCTTGGTGTTGCTGATAGTCTTCTGTTCTGGCCCCCCCTCGGAAGTCAGGATCCATTTGAAGGCAAAGAGACTTTCTTGCCTGTTCTTCATCTCAAAAGCTAGAATCTGTTTGTTGCTGCTTCCAAGCATAGTTGTAGAAATAATGTGAGGTTCCATGTCAAGCATGGCAACTTTCAGTTCAGCTTCAACCTTTAACTTCCTTGGTGAGTAAATGTATGTGAGTGGACCATCAAGCTGCAGCAAGTTACGTTGACCCCGTTGGAGGGCAGCTTCTACTGCATATTTGCCGCTTTCTTCCTCACTGATTTTGCTTTCAAACTTGATAGCTCGCATGTATTGCGGAGCATTAACCTGGAAAATGAATTATTGTTTTAAACTATTCCAACTTTGAACATCGTAGTACTCTATTTTATGAAAAATCTGAATCCACAAAATGTGTAACAGTAGGTTCATGTTAAGTTATACAGATATTACATGTACACTACATTACACTGCAGCGTACAAGAACATATAAAGTTTATATGATTACATATACTATCTATACAAAAGAATGTGTTAAGTATACATCTTTTACTCACAAACACTTTCACATTGTGTGTGTTGCCAGCTCGTTCATACAAAGCTTCAAATTCAGTGATCTTCAAGGTCTCTTTGGGTTTAGTCACTTCCACTTTTGTTCCCATCTTCGATGCTCCAAGGAACAGGTCATAGGAAGCACTGTATGACTGTTGTCCAAAGTTAACTGCAAAGTATAATAGCACTTCATTGGTGATTGTTTTGAGCTATAACGTGTTAATGTTATTTTCTGATAAATCATAATTTGCCTGAAAATCCATAAATTAAGGAACGGTATCTATTACCAATAGCATTTATCTAAAGCAATTATATTTCATCACAGTACCTGAAATTTCATTCTGAATAATCATATTTCTGAACATTCGTCCTCTGGTATTCACGGCAGCCTTTACAGACATAATCTCAGTATTTCTTGCTTCCACAAGAAATGTAGCAATATGCTCTGTAGCTTCCATTGGCCCAGCTGTTTTGTGGACAGAAGATGCTATTTTCCATCCTCTGATATTGGTGTGGAATTCCATCTTCCGTACTGCAGTTGGAACTGACATGCAGGCATATGGGTTGTATCTAAAGTCAGCATCAACTGAAAAGGAACTTGTACTTTAGATAATATATCCATTGATCAATCCATACTGGATGAAGATTATATTGAATGCATTATTTGTTGTGTACCTCTGAAGGAATAGCTTCACAAAGTGAAAGGGGTAAAACAAATATTAGATTCATGATAATTACCTTCAAAGTTTAGCTCTACATAGTCCCTCAGACCATTCATTGTTCTGCAGGTTACTTCCACCTCGGGACCATTCATTTTCTTGATAAATCTAGCTTCCACCATCTTGGATGATGTGGCAAACCTCTTATTCTGGCCAGTGAATACATTTATTTCATATTGCATTTCATTACCAACTTCCTTTCCACTAAATTCTGCCTTCATTCCTCGTGAAATATCAAAATATTCGGACCTACATTTTATAAATGTCTCGAGAGCCTTGTACTCTGCCTCATTTGTTAAGGTAGTCCATAGTCCTACTGAGGTGCCAGAGGACTCAAATTTGGCAGAGACAATGTGTGACCTTTCCTCCTTGGTATAGGACATTGTCAGTTCAGCTTGTCGTGGTGTTGCAGCTCCAGGAGTTTCAATGTTAACTTTGATAACCTTATTACCTCTCTTGTTCTTGATGGCAGTTGTCATTCGGTAACCTTTCATGGAAGGATCAGCTTTCTCAATGTACAACTTGGCAACAATGGGTTCTCCAAGAGGCATAGCAGTGCTACGGAAGATGTCTGGGAAATTCATTTCATAACACATCTTGATACCAAACACTGGCTCAAATGCATCCATGCATTTCTGGTGGTGAATCCTAACATCCCTCATGGATGCTGGACTGACCTTCGTCACTCTCTTTCCAATAGCTTTGATAAGGTTGGTTTCTGCCTTGACATTGAAGAGTTCCATCTTCTCTGGAAGCTCCAATTCAAACTCAAATACGTTGTTGCTGTTCTTCTTGATGTTAATGGTGGCTCCAGTTAGCAGTTGCAATGGTGCTCTTCAGTTCAGTTCCTGCCTTAGCAATGTGGCAGTCATAGCCAACAAAACCACTAACTGCAACTGATGCACTTGGAATCAGTTGAAGAGTCCTCTCAACGTGTGCTGGGTTGGTGAAGAGTTCAATGATATTAAAATCACCAGCCATTTTGATTCCCACAATGGCAGTTCCTTCCAACTTCAGCTTGAGAGGAGTACCTTGAATAGTAGGCAAAGAGTAGTCAAGGAATATTTGGCCTGTGCGGGCAGAGTCAATGTCCAGATTGTGAATATTGGGAAGGGTGGCATCAAAGTAAGAGAAGATTGACTCGATTATTCTGTCAGCATCCAACTCCTTCAGATCCTCAGCAATGGTAGCATACGTCACTTCATGTCCAAAGATTCTTGCGAATACATCAGCTCGGACTTCGCCCTCTTTCCTCTCTCCATAGAGCTTTTTGAAAAATCTGGAAATGGTAGACAGTGCTGATGGCCCTCTTTTCTCGAAGGCTTTCTTCTAAATGTTCTGCAATACGATGTCCCTTCTCTTCAGCAAATGCAACAATGTCTTTCAAAATGCGTCCAAATGATGCCTTTCGAAGATATCCTTCTGGACCAACTAGTTCCTTAATGATTGGGTCTAAGCCTTCAAGTCGGATGCCAGCCTCTCCCAAATTGATGCCCAAGTTCTCAATAGTCGTTCGGAGATTCAGATCAACAGAGCGAGGAAGGAAGGATTCAGGAGTGTAGATGACATTGGACTCCACACCAGCACCAATACCGAGAGAAGGAGAAAAGTAAGACATCTCAATATTGCGAGAGTGTTTCCTGATATCTCCTTCAAAGTTTCTAGGAATGACGAAGTTTGTGAGGAGGTAGCGTAGACGCTCTCTGTCAGGTGAGGCAGATTCTTGGATGTTCAACAAGTGGCTCAAAATGAAACCTCGCACTGGAAATGAGAAAATCTCCAATGAGAGATACAGTTTCCAACAGAATTTTTGACCATGCTATCATGGAATTCAGTACTATAGTATATAGATATAATGATTGCATAGAATATTACCTTGAGTATTTTGTTCTTCAGAAATCTTTGAAATAATCTTCTCAAGATGTTCCTCTTCAGCACATCTGATTGCTCCCAAATAAGCTGCAATTCGAACTTCAGTAGCCATACTTGGATGAACTGCAATGTCACTAAGCTTTCCTGTAACCTGCAATATTTTCAAGATAAGAATGATAGACAATTAATCAATTATTGTTTTCAATTCTCATTTGAACAATTTCTCAAGAGCCTTCTTATTTCTTTCAATACTTACATAGTGAGCACATTGAGTATGCCTGAAGACATGTGCGGCTGCTACTCGAATGCTAGTTTCTACTCCCTCTTGTTCAATGCAGCCAACTGCTGCTCTTGTTACTGCAGGTGTAATAACTCCCATGTTGCCTAGTGCTTTAAGTGTTGCAAGTGCTTCTTTCTCGACTTCTTCGCCGGCAGAAGGAGAGCATTGTCTTTGGACTTTGGTGGCCAGGATCTCAGCAATCTCCTTGACTGGAGCTGTCTCGCTGCAATGAGGAGTGTGACGGCAATAGTTGTTAATCATGGTGGCAGCAGCCAGAGCCTACGGAAGGCACAGGTCGGGGGCTTTCAAACAAGGGTTTCAGGGCCTCCACAGCTTCAATGTTGGGTCTTGGGGTAAGGTAGAGAGCAGCTGTGTAAAGAGCAAGACGTCCTCCTGTTGCTCGTCCACTTTCTATTTCCTGGACCATGATCTTGACAGCACCAGACTCGTGGACGAAGGCAATGGCATCCAAGAAGATGCTCTCTAACCTGGCAGAGTTGCCACAATAACGTCCTCCTCGCACTTTCTCTGCAGTTGCTTCAACTACGGACACAGGAACACGTCGCAACAGATGGAGGGCTTTGTCAACCAGTACAGCAGCATCAGGCTCAATAGTCTCCATGGTCTTCTGGCAGATCTGCTTCATGACCTCATCTACCTCAGGTGCCAATTCTGGTTCCTTCACCATTTCGTGGTTGTACAAGAGACTTTCAATGTGGAATTCAGCTCGAGGGATGGCACTGATGGCGGAAGCATCGCTGGACTCGGAGATGAAGCGAAGTGTTGACTCTTGGTTGGCCTCCACATACTTGTAGACTCCAAAGGCAGGTCGAACAATGTTCTTGTCCTGACACATGATGGCGGTGTAAATGCCATTGGTGATCTCCTGCTTGCACTCTGACCTGGACTCTTCGATTGGCAGGGGAGCCTTCAGCCAAGGGACAGGTGTTTCTGCAGGTGTTGGGAAGCGTTCTTGGCATTGGCGGTGGTTCTTCTCCTTGACAACGATGACCTTTTCTCCTTCGGTCTCAATCTCATACTTCGTTGGGCACTTTCCTACAACGTCTGTCTATAAAAGAAGAGGTCAAATGCTTAACTTCAATTAGATTTAGGAAGACAATTTGATTTATACTTGGATAGTAACCAGGATTTATTCATTTGTCTCCAGGTGAGTGGCATTGGTCTGCCAACGGTGCCTGGCAGTTACCTCTGTAATAGTGAGTCCTGAGCTGAAAGGAGAGAGCGACGGAAGTGAGTTCTGAAGGGTCGTGGCGATTCCCTTCTTCATGTTGATGGACCAAGGGGCGTCGCCGGGGTGAGTGCACACGTGCTGGATGCGCCCGTCTGCCACGGCCACCACCAAGGGATAGCGCTCCAGGAACCCTACATCAGCTCCTGAAAACAGCACAATCTCTATCAACCTTGAAGTTAGCCGAAGAAGCATTCCATTTGCTCTACCAATCGGTAGAGCACTATTATAGTGGTTGTACCAGCAGAGCCAGAGGTAGCATATAAGCTTCGCCTTGCTGGCCAAGGCGTAGCACCCACCTGCAGCGCCATCCACTTTGGCGTGCTTGATCGTGATGGCCATGTCGCAGGGAGTGATCCACGTCAGCTCCACTTGCTTGGACCACTCGAGTTCCGTAACGCCGTCCTCCACGCCCTTCAGCTGGACTCGAGACTTGCCGGAGTAGGCGTACGTGTAGGTCTTCTCAGGCTGGTAGGCCAGCTTGGGGGATCCGGTGATGGGGCATTCAGTGGAGCATCTCGGCGCCTGTGCTGTCCACGGCGCTGAAGAGGAACGGAAGGTTCAACGCGAGGAAAGCGAAGAATGTAATGTGTAAAAAACTGATTCAGCTAATCATTTAAATGGAAACCGAACAGTCGACGTCATTAGATTAGTCAAAAAGGAATACGAAATACAAACTGAATGAGTCAATTTCGTTAAAGAAAAGCAGATTGCTGAGGAACGTCGGAGCAAAAGATTGAATTGTGACGACTTACCTGCAAGTCCACCTGCCACGAGGGCGAGTACGAACACGAGGCTTGAGGTCGTCATGGTGGCTGAATGC